ACTTCTAATGTGTTTCTTAAAATATCTTTATTCTTAATAATATAATAAATATATATAGTATGTGGTTACTAGCTTTACTGATTAACTGAATTTAAAGCACAATGGCAGGTTTCTTCAATGACAAAGAAGCTATTAACCAGCTTGGCAGTATCAGAAATGCATTCACAAGACAAACAGTACAGCTGCTACAATAATTAAGGTGTCATGCCTCCAAGCTATTTTGGAATTCTAAGACAACAGTATGTGCACTGCTGAGTCATGACTTGATACTTTTTCTAAATCAAAGATCAAATTTCAAATGAAAAGAAAAAGTAGACGTCAACATTAAAATGTTGTCATTCCTCTCAGATCTGTCAGTTTCATCATGGTACTGTATGTGCCTGTTATACTGCTGACATCCTTCACAGACTGTCTCTATCTGTGACAGTAGGAAACGTAAATTCAGTAAAATACCAAAATACACAATGTGGTAAAATGATACCAGTTGATTTTGGGCATTTCATACCACTCTCAGAAGTACACAATCTCAGTTTAATGGAAACGTTGTAGTGATGTTTGTAAATAGTTGATGATTCCCAAGAAAATGTTGTTTAAAATGAGCCTAGGCAAAGTTTCACTTGGTAACTTAATAAAAGCATTCTTTATTTTTTATACCCCTCCAATGTATAAAATAGATCAAAAGTAATCTGATTTTACTGCAATAATTAGTTCTGCTTTCTTTTTCTTTCTTTGTGCTTGACTTATTTGGCTATGTGGGTGACATTGCAATGTGCTGTGAACGTTTTGAAATGGTTCAGAATAAATGGTATTAGTGTTTCAAAACCCAAGTAAAAAACCCAGAGAGCCATTATTTTCTAATATGAAAACACTATTAGGCAAAACTGTGATTTTCTGCCATATGAGCACAAAATAAAACAACACACCCTGTGCAATAACTATATATCATAAATAAGAATGTAGAAGGTTCCATGCACAAACCAGTGTTTTTCTTTTTATTTTCAGCTTGAAATTATTCTCTACTCATTCTTTTGCGGCTCCCACACTTACACTGTATACTGTATATTTCCCCAGTCTAACTCCTTCCTCTTTCTCAATGTCTCTCTCGTGTACTGTACTGTACATGCATGTATATTTTGGAAGAAAATCCTTTTAGGGTGATAGCGTTTTCCTATTACGTGGGATACTGATATCTAATTAATGTTTTTTTAGTCCAAGCTAATCTTTAACTGAAACAAATGAACTCCAATGCGCTTTGTTTAGAATTGAATCTTTAATTTCTGCCAGGACAAAATTCACAGTGGTGTAAATGTTTTTTTCATATACAATGACTGATCCATTTTATCTTAAAATGGTAGCTTTTTAACTGATTGTTTCTTAGCACTCCTGCAGCACTGTATAATCATTTGTCATAATAAAAAGTGAATTAGATATTATTTATGTTAGATACTGTACATATAGATCAGGTGGGTAGCTGCGTCAGCATGCGTTGGCTGAAAAGGAACAAGTAATATGTTTATTCCATGCTCACACCTGAAGAAGGCTCCATGACCGAAACTTTGTGTTTTCTTTCTCCTTTTTTTCAGCATGAAATTGTAGCCACGAGGCTTATTAATAAGAAAGAATTAAGTGTTCTGAGCCTTCCCAAATGAGGCCCCATTTCTCTGTTCATCTCTGTGGTGCAGCCACAGAGAACC